TATACCACCGGTAGTACCATTCCGCTTGCCAAACCGGCACAACGATATAAACCGGTTTGACAACCTTGATGGGAACACACAAGAATGGCAAAACTTCTCCTCTCTTCTTCTCCTCCATGCAATCGATGTTCTGGTCTATTTGGGTATATAACAAAATCATTGTATTTTTTTTTTGTGATGTGGCTTTAGATCCTACTCGAGTTTTGTACAAACTAGTGACTTGGTAGGTTCTTGTTTCTTTGCGTTTGCTAGAATATCAAATCGTTACTGCTCGTAAATGTCATAAAAATTTATGACTGAAGATTTATCAACAACTCAAATTATCAGGACCGGGTTCTTGACAATCATCAATTCACCATTATTATCAATGATAGAAAATAAAATAGTCCGTAAAGATTTAACCCCATAAAAATTACCACATCTCAAATTAGTCCCCTCGTTCGGACTCCAAACTCCACCGCCGATAATAATATATTAATCCTATCATGGTTGTGCCTAGACAGCAAATGTTTGGGGGATTGATTGATGATAAAAGAGTGGTGAATGGATCAGCCCTTAACTGGCAAACAAGGTCGCAGAATTAGGTTTGGCGTTCACAGATATCAGATGATGATTCCCTGGCCTGACCCCCTTTTTTCTTTTGTTTTCAGGAAAGGAAGATTAGGATCATATGTTCATAATGTTGACAGTGGAGAATAAATAGAAAAAAGGCGCAGTACGTAGTAGGAATTATATTGGACCACATTCGAGGCTAAAGCAACTTCATTAATGTTTCCCTGCTGCCGAGCCAAAGATAGATAACGAACGTCTGAGAAGACCAATTCTAATCCGAGCAAAAGCTCCCCGGCCTAGTCATGCATTAGTTCAGCAACAAAACTTAAATCCACGGGTACCCACCCGATCCAATCCGGTCAACGCGGGTAAAATTTATGTTGACGGGTTTTGGGCCGGGTTTGAGTTTAAACCCGTTAACTATTCACCGAGTTGGGTTGGGTTTGGATTTAGGTAAACCTGACCATGGGTACCCGCCCGCACACATATAATTAATTTTTTCAGTATATTTAATATTCTAAACAACTAATCTTATTTATGTTTGTGGAGACACGTCTAATTTATTCTTTCTAATTGTGTAGAATGAAGTTGATATTATCGAGTGGAGAGTGCGTTAACTTAATTGAAAGGAAGAAGCTTTCAATTAATCATGTATTTATGGATAATTTGTGATTGACTTCAATTTTCTTGAGTTTTCTAGATTGGTGTTGAACAATTTGTGTAGTTAATTTGTAATTTGCTTGAATTTTCTAGAATGGTGTTTTATATATGGATAATTTTATTGAGAGATTGATATTTGACTTTAATTTTGATAGGAACTTGTTATTGTAAATTTTTTACGACAAAAACCCGTGGGCACCCATGAACCCGCAGATAACCAGCGGGTTTGGTTGGGTTTGAGTTTTTCAAACCCAGTGGATTTTATCCCTAGTTTTTTTCACGGATAAACCCATGGTTTGGATTTGGGTTTGACAAAACCCGACCCATTGCCATCCCTAATTCAGTCCCTGTCCGGCGGCCCATTCCCTTAACCTATTTTCCGGTTTCGGTTAAGGTGAGTTTTGCCGACAAAGAGTGTTACTTTGTAAACTAATACCAAAACGGCGCCAATTAAGAAGGTTCAATTCTAACCCAAGAAATTTCAATATACTAGAGACTGCCGACAGTTAAGGGCCTGTTTACTTTCATTTCTGTTTCCTGTTTTTGAGAAAACAGATGTTGAAAACAGGTGAAAACAACATTTTGTCGTTTCCGAAAACAGTAGGAAGTTGCCACTTTCTGTTTTCATAGTTGGAAACGAATAGAAAACGGAATGAAAAGTAAACAAGTTTTCTCATTTCGGTTGCCAAATTTATGACATGAAAACAGAAAACAGGAAACGAAAATGAAAGTGAACAGGGCCTAAGTTGAGGAGGAGTTCCAACTGACCTGACCGGCTGGATTGGTGTAAATCTCACATTCTGAAAGAAAGGCATTTAGCAGCCATTGTCAACTGTCCATGCAGATTCACTCCCTTTTTTTTTTTTTTTTTCTCCCTCACAATCACACACTATTCCCCGCGTGAAATTAATGAACACAACCAAACCACCTCAACCGTAACCCTGCCCAATTAAAGCAAAATCGCCCACGCTACTTTACTTGTTTCCCTCCACTCCCCTCCCCTCTATAAATAAGAGAAATTATTGTATACACCCGGCGTACCACGTCACTTCAATTACGTGGTACTCCAAGCCAATAAAGAACAGACACGTTGATAGACGTTTACCTTGTATTGCCGCATAGCATTTTCGGCTTCATCTCTCTCTTTTTTCGACGCCTTAATGACTGATTAATTACTTAACCTGATTAATTACTCCAAGCCAATACAAAATTAGTCTATTCAATTATTTGCCAACAGAAAACACAGTTCCATTATGAGCATCTTCCTCCCACTCTGTTTCTCCCCAGAACTTCAACCATGGAACCAGGGAAAGAGAAACCCGTTCTCCACAAGAACCCAGAGAGAACATTTGAATTAGCTAATGTTTATCAGGATTTTTGGATTTTCATCTCTCTAACTATAAACTACAGATGCAATTTTAGCAAATATGCTCTGCTTCAATCCAGTGAATACTAAAATCAGTGGTAGCCGCCCCTTAATCATCTGAGAATAAAGCTCTGCTTCAATCCAGTGAATACTAAAATCAGTGGTAGCCGCCCCTTAATCATCTGAGAATAAAGCTCAATTGAAAGACTCGGTCTAATGGCGGGGTTTTCAGAGTTAAAAATGACTATTATGTAATAGTTAGTAAATATTTCGTTTAATATACGTATATATGATCGTACATATTGTATCTGTTTAAAACCTTCGTGTCAGTATTATAATCAAACCACTTCATCTTTTTTCGTTTATTTGATGACTCGCGTACTAAATACGTATAAAATCGATATAACACGTTTAATATCCGTATTTGATGAATTAAATTGCTAGCTTAACTATTATTTATATACTAATTTATTTCTAAAATATTAATTATATATATATTTTATAGCTATTGATGTATGATAAAACATACTATTAGTTTCAAAACAAAATAAAATACTCATGTATATTTTGTAGGTACCTTACCCGTAACGATTTTACTAACTTCTCTCTCTGACTTTTATTATTGGTTGGATTTCTTTCTCTGAATTTGAGATGAACTCAAAGAAGGAAACGTAAAATAGGGAAAGACTAAAAAAAAGGTAAAACATAGGGAGAGCGGAGTAAATATATGTCAACGTGTATGTTTTATATTGGCTTGGAGTACCACGTAATTGGAGTGACGTGGTACGCCGGGTGCATACAATAATTTCTCTATAAATAAACCCACAAACTCCCAACACTAGCCACCACCACCACCTCTTCACATCTCAGCCCTAGCTAGCTACCAATCTTTCCTTCCATCTTTAGCCATGGCCAACAGATCATCGGTCTTGCTCCTATCCTTTCTAGGATTAGCAGCACTACTCCTTCAGCAACATTGTGCCACTGCACAGCAAGTCCCCTGCTACTTCATCTTCGGCGACTCCCTCGTCGACAACGGCAACAACAACCAGCTCCAATCCCTCGCCAGAGCCGATTACATGCCCTACGGCATCGACTTCTCCGGCGGCCCTACCGGCCGCTTCTCCAACGGCAAAACCACCGTCGACGTCATCGGTAAGTTTATTTAAAAACCGTTGCAACATTCCTTTAAATTAACTTTCTCCAACGTGACAAGAGTACTGATTTGTAAGTGTTTTTATCTTGTAGCGGAACAACTGGGATTCAACGGATACATCCCGCCATACGTGGCGGCAAGAGGGCAGGCGGTCCTGCGAGGAGTCAATTACGCCTCGGCGGCGGCGGGGATTCGGGAGGAGACCGGGCGGCAGCTGGGAGGCAGGATCAGCTTCAGCGGGCAGGTGCGGAACTACCAGAACACGGTGAGGCAGGTGGTGAGCTTGCTTGGGAGCGAAGCCGCGGCGGCCAACCTTCTGAACAGGTGCATTTACTCCATCGGGCTGGGAAGCAACGACTACCTGAACAACTACTTCATGCCGCAGCTCTACAACACCGGCAGGCAGTTCACCCCGGAGCAGTACGCCAACGACCTCATCCAGCGCTACACGCAGCAGCTCCAGATCATGTACAACTACGGCGCCAGGAAGTTCGCGCTGATTGGAGTCGGGCAGATCGGCTGCAGCCCGAGCGAGCTGGCGCAGAACAGCCCCGACGGGAGGACCTGTGTGCAGAGGATCAACGCCGCAAATTCGATCTTCAACGACAAGCTCCGGTCTCTCGTGGATCGGTTCAATGGGAATACCCCCGATGCCAGATTCATCTACATTAACGCGTACGGGATTTTCCAGGACTTGATTGACAGCCCTGCCCGTTTCGGTGAGAAATCGAAACTCCCCCCTCCCCTCCCCTGTTTTTTGTTTTTTACCCTCTACCCCTGAAGATTGAAAAACAGAGTAAATCATTTTCGTTTTGTTATTATCAGGGTTGAGAGTGACGAACGCTGGGTGCTGTGGAGTTGGGAGGAACAACGGTCAAATCACCTGCTTGCCATTCCAAACACCGTGCCGGAACAGGAACGAGTACTTGTTTTGGGACGCTTTCCACCCGACGGAGGCGGCGAATATAGTCGTCGGACGGCGGTCTTACAGAGCAGCGTCTCCTTCCGATGCTTACCCTTACGACATCGCGCGCCTCGCCCAGCTCTAGAATCAGAGAGAACGGCGGAGGCATTAAGGCAGTCCGTCTTCATAATTGATGAATTATTGCATACTTTTCTCGGCAACCACATAAAAAAATACTCTGTTTTTTTTTTTTTTTGTTTTAGTATCTTCCTGCAAATGTTCAAACAGTTTGTGTCTGTATTGTCTCTGTTTTTGCCACCTATTTTGTAATGTTGTAAACGATCGTGTAACGAAGGAAGAAATGGAAGTTAAAAAAGAATCAAGCCATCTTTATTAGAACCCATTGTCTTCAACTGTGAAGCATTGATTGAAACCCCAATTCATCAGTTCCTAGATTCCTACTTGTAAAACGTTTCACATGCTACAAGATCTGTTTCAAAGTCTGGTAGAGAAATGGACCGACGATATAATTGGCGGCTTGGGTTGGATGGAAGGCGTCCCAGTAAACATATGTATCCCTCTGATCGCAGAATGTTCCATTGGGGATGCAAAGGCCTACGGTCTGCACTTGGCAGCAGGGCTCCTGCGTGTTTGGAAGAGCTGCGACAAAGGCAAAAACAAAACATTCATTTTAGGGTTCAATGGTGACTGAAGAAAAGGGAATTAGTGGGAGGGGATAGTTTCTTTTTTTTGTTACATCGGAGAAGAAGGTCGGTAGCGGCCATGGTGTCGAGGTAGACGAATTTGGCGTCAGGGAAATCTTGGTTAAGTCTGCCAGCGAGGTCTCTGAGAAGTTTGTTGAAAGGGACGACGGCTTCGTTCTGGGAATCCACGCAGCCTTTTCTGCCGGCGATTGTCTTGGCGAAGGGGGTGCATCCGATTTTTGAAATCCCGGCCAAAGCTATCTTCCTTGCTCCCAAGTTGTAAAGCGTCTTTCCGTGGTTCATCAACCCAAAACACACAGAAGTTTATGTCTATTAGTATTAAGTATTAACATGAATGATAAATAAAGGCTTGTTTGCTTGGATTTGAAAATAAGTATTTTGAATTTTTAAAATTTTTTGGAGTTACGATGGATTTGTTGCAATATGGTTTGGAATAGTAAATTGTTTGTGTAGTTGATTGGATGTGTTTCACAGTTTTGCTTTCAATTATTAAATCTCGAATAAAATTAAAAATTTACAAAAAAAGGTCCAAATCCATGGACACCACAAATTTGTGTCGCTCACCATACAATAAGTTTGTGTTAATTCTATTATACTTTGGATTTGGATGCCAAATTCATCACCCACCGATACCTAAATTCAAACATCAGCCCGTTTTTTCCTGGGGTAAAAATACCTCGGGTACCACTTAAGTTTGAGAATTGGGGCATACATACCACTTAGGCGTCGAGTACCATTAAAGTCGCCAAAATGTGCATCCGTATGGTTTTCCATCCAACCCAAAATTTTAATTACTTTTTGGTACCCAAAAATTTTAAAAACATCCAAAACTATATTTTAACAAGTTTTTATCTAATATAGAAATTAAAAACCTTCTAAACATAATATTACTAAAATGACTAATCAAAATTATCAATAAAATAGATAAATTAGTAAAAATAATAAATAAACATCAAGAGGAAGAATAAATATATAGAATATAATAATAAATATTAGAAGATCTATTTAAATCGCTAATCCAATTAGAAGTACTATTAAAAATAGCTAAAATATAACCTAATCGATCATCAATACACCAAAACCAAAGAAAGATAAATGGAACACAGTCAGAAAGAATTAAACATATTCTAGTGTAATTGAATAAAATTTCGAACGAAAAGAGGACGAAAGTAACCAAGTAATAAATAAATAAAATTTACTACATTCTGTAACAAATCTAGAAAAGAAAATACGACTATATGAAGAGAATTAGAATTAGTAAATTTAATTAATATGAAATATCTAAAATATAATATTAGAAAATTATAAGGATATTTAACTTCAAAAATTTAACATAGCATTAAAAAGAAAAGCAAAATTCATTGATTTCGAAAAGATAGCTAAAAAGGAGAGCGTCGGATGGGAGTCAGTTTGTGGGCTGAAAAGGTCCATGCATATGGAAGGGTCACATAGCAGGAGCAGAAGAATGGGCCCAAGCCCTTGGCATCAGTTAGTCAAAGTGAGACTCTAACGTCTCATGATTAGAGAAATCTGGCTCAAGCAATAATTGCCGAGAATAGATTGTTTGTTGTGATAGCTTGAACCGTAAACACCAAGTAATTTTATTTGAAGTATGGTGGAGATTTGTGATTAATTCTGTTATCAATAGCGATGTAAGTCTGGCCCTAGATACCATTGATTCAATTCGGTTCGGTCTAGTTTTGATAGTCGAACTGGATCTATTTGTCTATAGGGCTATCTTAAGGTTGAGTCATCTTTTGGCTCAACCTTAAGATAGCAACAACTAGTGAATTGAATTTCTTCTTTCCAAAAGGTTTGACCCGTTTGTAAAATTTTAAAGTTTACGTACTTTAATGCAATGTAAAAAATGTAATGGTACTAAAACGTAATTTTGCAACTAAATTTTTGGACTTATTTTAAAAAAAATTAGATACTAAAATATAAGAAAAACAAATTTGGATACCAAAATATAGTTTTCCACATAAAAGATTGTTGATATGGGCCGACCCACAAGTTTGGCCCGAGCCGACCCAACCCAATCCAAATTGGTCAGACAAGGTCAAGGGGATAAATGGTCGGGTCTTTAGCTATAAGGTCGGGTATTTTAAGGCAGTTCTAGTGTCAGTGTTGGATTTTGCCCAATGTCACCCCTAATTGTCAATGAGGTCGACCGCTTATGGTACATTAGGTCGAGCACATGATGGTCAAGGCGACCACATAATCAATCAAATAGATCATATAGTCAGGTAAACCATTTCTGCTTCTGCAAAATTATTGACCATTAATATTGTAGGGGGTTGTCAAGTCTCCCAATAGATAATTTGGGTGAAGACATTGAAGACTCTAGAACCATAAAGGACGAAAATAATAATGAAAACATTCAGAAAGTACAAATAAAAAATACGATTCAAAATTTGACTCACTAAATTTAATAGGGTTAATATCATTTTCAAAAAACATACCGTTTTAATATTTTCACAAACATATCCTTCTAAAACTTAATAGGGTTAATATCTACCATTTCAAATTAACAAATGTTCCCATCTACTAAATTTTTGCACAAACATATCCTTTTAATATTAAAATATAACGAATATATCCTTTCATCTAATTATCTGTTAAGTGATCATTTAATGAGCTGGGAAATGACCCAATTGCCCCTCACTAATTTCTTTTAATTATTTTGTCCCAAAACCATTAAAAATTAAAACAAACCCCTAAACTAATCCCCTCCAACCTTATGTCTCCCTGAAGCCTCCGACTCTGCAGTGGCTGTTCTCAGCTTCTCCTCCCCGGCGGCTGTTCCTAGAAAGGACCAGACATACGGCGAGACAGCTGAGCAGAAAGGACCATTGTTGAATGGTTAATGGGCTGCTTTTGTCATTGGTGTTCATGGCTTTTGACCTTATAAATTATAAAGAGTAGGCATAGTAGATCATCTGATCGTATCCTAGTGGTAAAGGTTGTGTATCTTGTTAAACAAAGGGAAGTAGGTCCAATTCTTGGCTGCGGTTTTTTCTTTCTCATTTTTACTTTTCAGTTTTCACTCTTACCCTTCATCAAATTTTAAGAGAACTTGCATTAAATATTTATTATTTCACTCTTTTTTTGCCTTCTAAAAATTAAAAGAGAGAATTTCCATGGGATGGGATTAGGTGCTAACCCTTATAGGGGTTAGCACCATGATACCTAGCAAAAAATGCTACTAAAAACAACGAAATCACTACGGATTATTATAAAATCAATACAACATCTAAGCTAAATCACAACTAACCCTTGGTTAGGACGGTGCTAACTCTTGTACAATTAGCACCGTAACTCCTCCCGAAATTCCATATAATATCTAATGTATATTAGGGAAAAGTTCTGAAAAAATCTTATTTTTAAATTTGAATCTCGTTTCATTTAGTATTTATTATTTGTACCGCTAGATATCTTACTTTGTTTTGATTCATTCAAAATCTAGTTTTATTAGCAAATATGCATTTTTAATTGTGAAAATAACATAAATTTGTTAAAAATTTATAATAAATTTCTTAACAAATTTATAATAAATTTCTTAATCTTACCATGAAAATTTAAATTTTATATATTACTTTTGCTCATTTTGACAAAGTAAAGAAATGCGTACAATTATTCGATTTTGGCCCCCCCAGTGCAAAATTCCCGTCTTCGCCCCTATCTAAATGGTGTTTGAATAAATACAAGGAAGAAAGGCTATAGTTTTGTGTTTATACCTGATCTTTAATGATAAAGTTGATAGTAATTTCAGCCGCTGGGAAACTTCAGCTGCTTGAATCCCAATAGCCTCTTACCATCTTCGTTCTCGTATCTGTTAACCATATGCCTCTTACCCTCCGTCGCTGTAGGGTTGATGACATTCTCACTTATTAACTTATTACTATCCTTCTTTCTCTTTATGTCTCCTACCTTGTATGAGTCGATTAGTATATCATCCTTTTGATTTTGAAATTGGAATTGGGGTAGCTTTGTGGAGATTACGGTGAGGATCCTTAGTTCGATTATCAATTGAGGAATTCAGCTGGCCGAATCGAACTTCAGCCGCTGGGGAGGAGAAGTTAGGAGCGACCGCCGCCGAGTAGGGGGATTGAGGGAGACAAAGAATTGGATGGATTAGTTTAGGGGTTTGTTTTAATTTTTAATTGATTTGGGACATAAAATAATTAAAAGGAAATTAGTGAGGGGTAGTTGGGACATTTCTCAGCCCATTAAACGACCACTTAACAGATAATTAGATGGAATGATATATTCATTACGTTCTAATATAGTAGACTGGTATGTTTGTGCAAAAATTTAGTAGAGTGGTACGTTTGTTAATTTGTAATAGTTAAAAAGTATAAAATGCTATTAACCCAATTTAATAATGTAAAAAAAAAGTTACTTTGTTCATAACTTATCTGTACTATCTATCAAACAGTAACATTACATTCTAAACTCACAAATTGTATAAGTTTAATCTACCACTAAAATCCTAAGTTATTGACTTTAACCCCTCTACACAACACACCACCATGAACATTAACACCCGAAATCCTAACTTCTTGAACAAACCTAAAACATGAAACCCAACCCTAAATCCTAACCGTGAACTCCTTAAAGTAATACCCTAACACTTTGATTCGATAAAATCTAGACTAACCCTAAACTTGTCAATCCTGAACCCTAGTAATAAAAAGCAATGAATTCTAAACTTTAACAACTGAATCTCCCTAAACCCTGAAGCCTAATTTATGACCACCCTAAGACATGACATTAAACCCAAGGCTTTCGTATGCTGGAGAAATCTACAACATGTGAAGATATTATTGAAATTGTATGATCCAGTCAACTAGTTGTTGACATTGATTGGCCATTTTTGCCTAAATTTGGTCAAATCAAAAACTATGTGTCATTAATTTAATCTTAATCGTTGATGTATCTCGTTTATGAGTTAGGATTCAGATTTGTTATGAACGAGTAACGAAATATTTTTTACATTATTAATTTGAAATAAATTACTTTTGACTCTTAATTTTATATTCATACTTCTTCATTATAATCGTTATTTTATACGCTACATTTTTTTCCAATCACAATGTCTATAGTCTATATGACAACTTTGTTTTTTAAATTATTCTGGACAAAACTCATGGTACGTAATAAATAAATACTTTGACACAATAACTTTCAACATATAGACCGGTGCTTCTAATTATTTTAGAGAACTCGGATATCATGAGTTTAAATCTCTTAAATTATACCGAAACAAAAAAAAAAAAGCAAAATTTATATCACCCTTATAAAAAAAAAAGGAAAAACAATACGGATTAAGGAAAACAACAAATTCCACATCTGATAAACGTCCTTTACCTTGATCTGCTCGTAGTATCGGCCCACGAGACGGAAGGCGAATATGCCCGGCGAGTACTCCTTGCTGGCGTTGGAGAACTGGGGAAGGAAATAGTTGTTGATGTAGTCGTTGCTCCCAATATTGACATAGTACAGGCACTGCTTCAGCCGATTCGAAACGGCCTCCTCGTTTCCCAACACTTCCCCGAAACGTGACACCGTCACTTGGTGATTGCTCAACTGCTTGCTCAGATCTATGTTGTTTCCCTGCTCATATTACGCTAATTATTATTCTTCTTAACGTTGTAATTTGACCAAACTAAACATATATCAACAATCACCTGAAATTTGCCGGTCTCGACGAGGATTCCGGCCGATCCAGAAGCGTAGTTCACACCTTGGAGCAGCCCCGTCGCCGGAATCGCCGATGCAAATGCTGGGATGTAGTTGGGAAGTCCCAGTCGTTCAGCTGTAGCTCGTAACATGACGGGATATGATCATTAGCTAAAATGATAATTAATAACGTTTAAACGTTTTAACTAATCCGAATTCTGACTCACTGATCACATCAGCCACGGTTTTGCCGTTGGAGAATCGGCCGGTGGGGCCGCCGGGGAAATCGACGCCGTAAGGGAGGTAATCGACTTTAGCTGCGGTGTTGAGAAAGTTGTTATTCCCGCCGTCAACCAACGAGTCCCCGAAGATGAAAAAGCAGGGAGCTACCGGCTCGCCGATAACCCATTGCTTCTTTCCGAACCAGAGCGCCAATAGGCAGAACGTTACGAGAAGTGGATGGGAATTCCATTGTCTTGCCATTACAGGGGGTAAAAGACGAACGAAAGTATGTTGTTGCTCTTGGAATTGAGTTTGTATGGAAGGAAGGAATGAGAGAGACTAGCAAGTGGGATATATATTGGAATTGTTGATTCAAAATAGGAAGTCATACAAGGACAATGTGTTCATATGCTATGGACATGTATTTCCTCACTTTCCTTATTTCATAAAAAAAAAAGTTTGGTAACTACTAATTGCTCTTCTAATCTATGTCGACTTGAAATGTCTCGAACTAGTTGTGATTGTCGAGTCTGATAAAGATGTAATTAAAGTTCGTTTGAATACAATGATTGATTGTTTCAATTTTTGCTACGTGTGTCAATTATTATGTACAATAGAATGAATATCAAGCGTGCCGGTAAAACAACGTGATTGTGACTATATTATTTTTATGCTTGATATGATTGTTAAGTTTTTCTATTGATCTAAAGTTACTATATAGATTATTTGTTACCACAGGTCCTTGTTTTTCTTAAAAATGTTAACGTGTGTTTGGTATAACTTCTCAATTTTTCCGATGAGTAGCAAATCCAAAGAATGCATGAGATATACTTGGGGAATTTTTTTAAGTCCCTTCTTATTCTGATTTTTCTGACTTCTCCACTACGACACGATTTTCCAAAATAAAAGTTGATAACCTAACGTAGTTACAGTAGTATTCATACAATATGGTTGAAATATTTAACAACATGGATATCGATCTACTTTTCAATGACTATACGGAATATGTGGTATAAAAGAAGAAAAGATGCATATATTTTTAATCCGTTTAATGTTCCGACAAAGCTCTCACTGTTTTTTCGTCTTTGGAGAGTTGTTTACATCGAAATTTTAGTTTGAACGTTAATGATAAAAGGGGCATTTAGTGACAACCCTTTTCTGCTCAATACAAATAAGCAATTCCTTAAACAAGAAACTCACCATTACCATTGACAATACATTTTGGAAAATCATAATTGTGCATGGTTACAATGTTTGATGTTTTGAAATTTCCATTCATGCATGTCCCTATGCAATGTTTCTAATCAATTCAATTGTGTTAAAAAAGAGAGAAAAATTCATCTTGGACTAGGGGAAGGGTATCGAGTGTTTCCTCCATGGTATCATTACCAACTTTATCTGGTTGAAATATTATTTACCTTCTGTGCATAGTATATTTTAAAACAATCTCATTAATCTTCATTCATATATTACCAAATTATCAATCCTAATCTTCAAATCCTATTTTGACTAGTCAGACCACCCAGTTTTGACTTTTTCCCATAAATGTCCATCTGAAGTGTATTCTAACCGTTAAAATGACCAGTTCCGATCGGACCAGGTTGAACCAATCGACTTGATACTGGTTTGACAACCTTGCTATGAACCCTCCAAGTATTGATTCTTCAGGCTAGCAATTGATTCCGTTCGGTTATAACCAGAACTGTTTAGTCGGTTCTTGGTTAACAATAACTACTTTGCTTACTGTTAACTGCATCGTTTATATTAGTCAGTTAATCGTAACCACATGGTCGATTCTCGATTATTTTTCGATTAACCGGATAATCGTTAAGCAAGTGATTCGGAAGGTTATACCAAAATAATTGATCAGTAACCTAAATAGAACAGAAGACTTCCTCCTTTTTTCAATTGTACATTCTTTCCTACATATTTATGTGCTTTTGTTTAGTTGTTATCATTGAATAAAATATAATTTAACATACGTATCAATCCAACACAAATACACAATGACACCATTCTACCGTCAAATTTGATTAAAGAAGCAGACAAGAATAAAAGACCGAACAACAAACTCAACTCACACTACAAAAAAAGGGTCTATGGCAAGGGTTATTTTCATTCGTAGCAAGATTTTAACTCCTGTTGCAGGATGTAGTAAAGGTTCACAAAACCCTTGGAGGAACCCTTGGCAAAGCTGCCCCTACTACATGTAGCAAGGATTATAGCGACCCTTGGTACAAGTCTCCTGCAACAGTTGTATCAAGGGTTTAAACCCTTGCTACACATATGTGAAAAATTCAAGCCCGAGTTTCTCGTACCATCAGTTAAAACCCTTGGATAATTCGTTTTTACAGCTAGCAAGGGTTTGAACCCTTGCTACATGCCTATGTAACTTTATATAAAATTGTTGAAGATACGCTACTTAACCCTTGCACAGTTTGTGACTAAAGCTGAAAATATTTTGTGTCGAAATCAAAATGGTCGCTAAAATTCGTCACTAAATTGAGGCAACATGATTCGTGGCAATAGCTTGGTTGCAATATCCTGGTCATTAAAAACAAATCCAAAACCAAGTTTGTCACTAAAATTCCTACCATATACCCAGAATCAAAACATGCTCACAAGAACCCAATTCTAAGCTACATGAGTGGACCATTTCCAAAATACTTCATACGACATTTGATCACGAAACTCGAGATCCCATTGATAGAGCAAGAGCACTAGTGGCACCCTGTTCATAAAATAAAATAAAAAACCATAAAGAAACATATCAGATGATAAGTCAAACAATGAAGATGTGAAGGAAATGATGAGAGATTCAGCTGTGGCTAGGATCTCTTCATTACTAAAAACATCTTCAAAACAAGTTACCACTCAATTATGCACAAATGTTAAAGTTCTCCTATAATATGATTCTCTATATTCTAAACCTAGTCATAAACACACAAGCTTCCACAATCAAAACCCCCCTTAAATCATCAAAACACCACATAATCAAACAATCTCAAGTTTTCCAAGAAGGTAAGCTATCGATCATGCATACCACCTTCATGTGTTAATTAAAAAAAAAAAAGAGATTAACAAACAGATTGTGCTTCCAAACATATTAAGTACACAAATAATGGCACCCAATCAAGAAAACATGCAGCAGAGTAGTAGCAGAGCAAATATTATCTTGTATGACGAGCCGAACAATTGTGATTCCAAACAATTGTACTTCAAACATACACTTCATGTGCATGTAGTAGCATAGTATGGATCAACTTATACACCCTCTACAAATTTTTCCATAAATCATCCTTAAACCTCGAGCAGAGTAGAAAACCCAGAACCAAAAACAATCAGACATAATTGACTAGGAAAAAAGACAGATGAGACATTACCTGATTGTTTTCAGCATCTTTCATCCAATTTTGTCCGGGACACTACCTACTGATGAACCTCGCCATGGCCTTCATGTGTTTCTTCACCTATGTTAACTCATCTTTCAAAGCAGTCGCATCCTCACATGAATGACCAGCCGAACAAGATCCACATGCAACCCCTCTCGAGCACACTCCAAAATATGCGGTCGGAGTTGGCCCTAACCTCATGCATCGAAGCCTCCCATTATGCTCTAGGCCCGCTAGCTTCTGACAAACTTCCTCCTTAGGGCCCTCCATTTCGTCTGCTTTATCCTTTATGAAGCAACAATTTAAGAATGCATAGAAATTAGAATGCATCATAATAAATTAGTAGAATCAAGGAAAAGTGTTGGTTTTACCATGAAATCCTTAGCATAGTCATTAATGTATATTCCGTCATTCCTCTTATGGAGAACTTCAAAAACTTCAAGTCTAGTCTAGGCTCTGCCTAATTTTGCCCTCTGTAAGCATTAACATATTCGAACTTAAGAACAACATATACAAGTTCTAGAATTATCTAGAGCTAAAATGGATTGAATTTTGACCCATTCCTTTCTTATCCTTGCAACACTTTTCCTTCCTACCATGTGATGCAGATTCTTCTTATACTCATTTTCTGAAAAATGAAAATTACTTTGTCATCATGTATGCATCTAAACTAAGATATATTACGCATAATGCTTTCCATTGTTGGTAAATCGTTAGTAATCTTACCTTGCTTTTCTTTGTAAACCAGCTAGCTACCAAGGTTTTCTGTTGTGGTGTTGACCCAAACTCTTCCGTCCCATCAAAATGAGAACTCCAAATCCTAAACATATGAATTTCATCCAACCAACAAAGATTTGCTATGTAACAAAACTTCCCACTCTTGTCTAGCCATTTTGATCAAGTAGATTCACAACAAACATGACAACCAAATCTACCATGTGTGCTATATCCAGATAAGTTACCATATGCAGGAAAGTCATTAATGGTCCAGAGCAAAGAAGCACGCATAGTAAAATTATGCTTAGTGAAAGCATCATAAGTAGTCCCACCCTCCCAAAGTGGGATCAAGTCTTCAATCATCAGTTCTAAGTAGATATCAATATTATTACCGGGGCCTTTGGGTCCAGGAATTATCATTGATAATATGAAAGTGGATTGTTTCAAGTACATTCATGGAGGCATATTATAAGGTATCAACACTAGATGCCATGTACTATGGGTTGATCTCATTGATCGATGCTAACTAAACCCATCACTACTTAGAGCCAATCTGACATTGTGTGGATCCGAAGCAAAACTAGGGTGTCTAGCATCAAAAGATTTCCAAGCTTCTCCATCAGCTGGATGTCTCAACAATCCATATTTTTTACGAACTTCATCATGCCACCTCATGTGTTTTGTCGTCTTTTCAGAAGCAAACAGTCTTTGTAACCTCGGGATTAAAGGAAACTAACACAAAACTTTTTTTGCCACCTTGAGTCCATCGATTTTGCCAACAGTATACCTAGTGTTACGATAAACATAGAAAGAAACGACATCTTTTGTAGAATTCCAATACAAACTGCAATCATTCGGCAATGCTTCAATTTTGACATAATCTAAACCCAACTTCTTAACCACCTTCTTAGCAGTATAATGAGATTTTTGTAAGGATATACCTTCCGAAAATGCTTGCAGTAACAACTCAAGTAACATGGTGAAGGATTTTGCAGTCTATCCATTGTGAACCTTGAGGTGATAAAAGTGCATTAGAAATGATAGTTTTGAAAATGTCTAGCATCGTAGATATAGCTCCCCATCTGCATATTTTATTAAATCTTCTATTCCACCTGTATTGTACAACGGATCATCCCATGATTCATCACAATC